TTAAGGATGACAGTGCAATTTACCTATTAAAATAAGATACCATTCCACTTTGATTAGTGGAGCATTAGTCTTGAGATTTATTATTTTTAAATGATTAAGCTATGAGATTATAAAATATACAGTTTACAGTTTACAATTTATTTAGGATAGTAGGCTATATACCTGTGTTAATCCTTTCGATTTGTTACACACAGGAGGTCCAGTCTCGCCTTGAATGAATCAACGGATGGCGCCGATACGACGTGTTCCGGTAGGGAGTTCCAATGGTTCACAATTCGACGCGAAAAACGGATCTCCAGACGCAGACGATTCGACCGTGGTTTTTGAACCTTGAGGTGATGTCCTCGCAATTGGTTGGTGCTAGAAGGAAGAAATAAGTTAGATAAATTTGCTCCAAAATCATTTCTTAGGATACGGTATGCTAGTATTAGGTCACCCCTAAGTCGTCTGTATGACAGTGGAAATAAACCCAGTCGACTTAACCTCTCTTCATATGAGAGGGTTGAGAAACCCTTTATCAGCTTAGTTCCTACTCTTTGCACCCTTTCTAATAAGTCTATTTCGTATTTGAAACACGGGCTCGCTGCCTTGATCCCATATTCCAAATGAGGTCTGATATAAGTCGGATATAATATACGAAATATTTCGGCGTCAAAATTCGCAAAAGCTTTGCGTATGGCCCATAACATTCGAAAACCCTTAGTGGCTGCAGCTCTACAGTTTATTGCTGTTTTCAAGTCATGCTGCACAACCACTCCCAAGTTCTTGTACTTAGTGACCACTGGGAGAGTAATGCCATTCATTGAGTAATTGTCCACGTGACTATGAGATACATGCATAACTACACTCTTGCTTAAGTTAATCTCCAAGGCCCAGTGCTTACACCAATCACTTAACAAGTTTAAATGTTCCTGCAAAGCAAGTTGATCACTGTCATCGTGTAAAGCCCTCCATATCTTGATGTCATCAGCAAACAGTAAGCAGGATGACCTAACTACCGATGGAATCTCATTAACAAAGATCAGGAAAAGAAGTGGGCCTAGAATTGTACCCTGAGGAACGCCACTCTTAACCGATTCCCATGTTGATAAAACACCGTTAACTCGTACTCTTTTTCTTCTGTCCTTTAGAAAGTCTTGAATCCAGTCGGCAACCACTTTATTGATTCCCAGACTACCTAACTTTACTAGAAGACCTGAATGAGAAACCCTGTCAAACGCCTTGCTAAGGTCGATGAATATGGCATCCACCGGTATATTAGCATCAGCTGAGCTTTCCCAACTTTCTCTGGCCAAAAGAAGGTTGGTCAAGCAAGAATGACCTGCTCTAAAACCATGCTGTTCCACAGCGAAAAGTTTGTTCCCTTCAATGAAGTGAATGATAGCATCACGAATTATTCTTTCTAGTAGTTTAACAACAATACTGGTCAAACTAACAGGATGATAGTTCTGAACTAAGTTTCTAGATCCGGTTTTGAAGACCGGACTAATGATGGCATCTTTCCAGTCTCTTGGACATTTAGACTGGTCCAGAGACATATTGAATATTACCGACAATGGCTCGGCTATGTTTTCAGCCAATGCTGTTAATATACGTGGGTGGAGTTCGTCAGGGCCACTGGACTTACCAGGATTGAGCCTTAGAAGCCACTTTAGGACAGTATCCTTTCCAATGTATAAGGGTGCCATTTTCAAGTTACCTTCTGGAAAAGTTACAAAGCTGGTATCAATATTATCAGAGAATACTTGACTAAAGTGCTTTGACAAAGCCTCAGCCTTAGTCAAGTTATCCTCAGCCATGCTTGTCTGGTCATCTTCAAGCATAAGAGGTGGGATAGCATCACTCTAACGTGTTCTTCTCTTGATTTATGAGAAGAGTCTTTTTGGGCAGCCTGGTGAACTTTTGACTAACTGGGTTTCGTAAGCTATCCTTGACTGGCGAATCAAAGTTTAACACTGGTTTCTGGTTTCACAGTATTTCACAGTATACATGAAACACTAATTTTTTGATTACAGCTTGATTCCCCACCGTGTTTTTGGTACAAGTATGGAATTCTCAGCATGTGATATCGATAGCCCAAATTTAGCAGGCTTACCATTGATATCAGGTGTGCGTCGGTAGGGGATCAAACTCCAAACCATGTACATGGTCGGCAAGCGTCCTAACCACTGTGCCATCGATAAATTACTCAGTATTAAAGAACCAGATTCAGATTTGTAACACAAGCGTGAAGTCAGTCGCTTCTCCTATGGAGATCAGACACTTGCACTACCCATGCGTCACGAAAAGCGTTTGCAACAGGCCACTGTAGAGTCGCATCAACAACTGCCTTCTCTGGTTCCATATTGAAGATCAAAATTGCTGGTGGAAAGAATTAGCACGGAGAAACTATGAGAACAAACTAATCAGGAAGCTATCGTTCAATGGATATGTTAGAACTGAAAGCATTTATTTTCCTATTCGAATTTAAAACAAGCAACAAAGGTTAATAAAGCAGAATTTAATGAATTCATCAAATTTCGGTAGAACTCGTCAGCTGAATACTCTACATACACGGATATATATACTTTTGAAATTATATTTGGAGATATAAGATTGATAAGTAAATAAACTACATTGGATTAGTTATGCAGAACGACAGGTGCGAATGTTTTCCAAGTCATGTTCAAATAGATGAGGGGAGGAAGGGAGTATGAGAGATTAAAATTGAGATAAAATGCATTACGCTTCAATTGCATCACTTAAATAAACAATTAGTCAAGAATTGCAAACAGAGTAATACCTATAGTAATAGTTATAATAATAATAATGCTAAAGTTAGTTAAGATAATGCTGCTGATAAAAGATAGTTTGAAATGAATCAAGAATAATAATAAGATATGTTAGAGAAAATGGAGGTGGATTGGGCACACACTGAGGAGACCGTCGAATAACACTGCGCGCAATGCGGGTCATCACTCGAAGGGAATCCAAATAGGAGATGACGACTGTTTCGTCCAAAGGTAACGTGAAGGAGATGAAAGATTATGGGCAGTTATGTGACCAGATAAAGAGGACAGCAGAAAATAGAACAAAGTGGAAATGTGTTGTTGAAGCCTTATGCTCCTCTCAGAACCCATGGGAATTATAATAATTAACATTGAGTTACATGACATAATGTTATTGAGGTTAGACAGACAGACAGTATTAAAATCCACCTTTCAAAATTATCAAAATAATAAAACTTTTTTCCAGACAGTTTGGGAACACATAGTGTGGTGCAAGCTGTCTGCTAGCCAATATTGGTACACAGCACTTGACATCAATGTTTACGTCCCAAATCGGAGTCATGAGAAAAGCAAGAACAAAGACTTTGCTTGTGCGAATACGATTCTCGGACTTATGGTCTGCACTTCAAAGGAACAGCCACAGAGAGATGGCAGAATAACCTTCAGCAAGAAGAGAACCAACCAGAAGACGCTGTTTCTCTGTTAATAATAACGAATAATAATGTACACAAAAATGTATAAATATCTCTTTCTCTCAAAGTATACTTTGCGATTTAGTGTTTTTGACTATGAATTGAATTGTACAGCGTTTTTCTGAAGGCTGATTGAATATATCTACGGGAGATCATTTATGGGTCTATTCTCTCTCTACATAACTAGATCAATATATGCAATACGAAATGTAGAAGAATTTATGCATTACAATGAATGGAAATTCTAATGGCTGCAGTGATTTAAGCAAGCCGCTTACTATTGACAAAAAGGTTTAATTACCCCCATGGATTCCCGCACCCTAGTGGCAGATTTGTTAACAAGTCAACAAATTCTGCATTTTATCATAAAACCTGTTTGTTTTTTATGTAACTTCTCTCTACTTCACTAAATATTGGGGCCTCTCGATTGATATATATACATATATATATATATGAAACTGGCAGAAATTAGAATATATACTTAACTGGATTGACAGCATATAGTTGAATGCTAATGGGATTGATAGATGAGAGAAATTGGAAGCCTAGACTTCAGTTTACGTAATTCTGAAAAGTTTCACACCAGATGGGAGTACTGGATAGTCGTTTCGTCCCAGTTTTGAGCTCTTCCTCTCTTGGCACCTACGAACCTGCTAGGGATCGAACCCAGGACCCTTAAGTCACTAAGTGGACTCGATGATCATTTAGCCACTGATACAATATCCGGTGGCCCGTCCCTTCTATAGTACAACTTCCAGCAAATGTAATCAGCGAGCATCTTTGCTCACAATCATTTTAGAGGACCCCACTGGTCACATTTTCTAACTAGAACCTGAAGGTTGTAGGTTCATTCCCCAGTAGGATTATAAGTGCGTAGTGCTGAAGAGTTTAAAAATTGGACGAAACAGGTATCCAGTACTCACTAGTTTTTAATGTTACTCTAATTGACGCCAGTTCATGATCAAAGTCAAAATAAATCAGATCTCTGCTAAGTAACACTTGTGAAATAATCTAGGCTGATAAGGCCCAAAAAGATAACAGCTTAGAAAGGTGTGACATATTAACTGTATATTCAAAGAATGTATTGTTCACCGGATGCCTTCTATCATACTGCGTCATTAAGCAAACAATACATGTAAAATATATGATTATTAGTTACTGTTTTGATTGTATGTGCTTTACAAAACCGGTGAATCTCCTCTTCTCTATTACTCAATGCGTAGGAAGACAGTTGTGTTCAATTTTATTGTTAAGTCTTTGTATTTCATTGCCTTGCTCCTAAATAAAGAATTTTATTTATTTATTTACACTAACTCATCAAAAATAGCCAATCAATTTGCTAGAAAGTCTTTAATTACTCGATAAAAAACAAACAAATATTCATTGTCTTATAGAATTCGTTTATTTTATATTTCCCTCCACCCACCATTGAAGCATTTCTCCCGAAAGGAGAGTTAAATCCCCTTCCCTTGCTCGCCTTGATCATATTATCAGGATAAGCAGGAAACAAATGAGCGAGAGAGAGAGAGAATGAGTGAGACAGCGAACAGAAAGGTTATATATATAAACATATGTTAATAAGGTCATACAAAATACCCAAATTTCAAACTACGCTGTTAATTATCCAGGAAAAACAAATTAAATCACATCCTCAATTATTTATTATACTTCAATTAATTTAAGATACAATAAAAAATTGTAAGTGTATTTGCTATGGTTTTTTGCCTTATTTAAAAGTTTCTCTTATTCTCCTGTTTTTTACTGTTTTATCATATTATTTCCTTACAATGTTTCAATGTTCAATTACATTGATTTTTTGGCGCAACATTTGAATTTTTTCTAGAAAATTGTTTAATGAACATTAAAACAATGAATATTTTGTACGAATATTAAAAGCAATTGCTAGATATGAACTAAAAATAATTGAGAGCGTGAAAGCATTTAGAAAACTGTAGGTTCCGAGTGGAACATAGGGCTTGTGTTTGTACACACGCCACCTCCGATCACTAAATCTTTGAAAGAGCAGAAGCCTGTGAATAATTCTCCGTTCTCATTCATTTCTCTGACTGACAGCCTATCGACCCATGATGAGTTCTCTTCCTGTATTATCTGCTCCCAGTTCGGCTTTCAGTCATATCGCCCATAAGGATTTTGATGCCACCATTTGGGATGTTGTCCATTACTGTTTGTAGTTGTCTGTAAAAATCCTCCTTCTTCTTCTCTTGTTCCGCATTGTTTGCAGCACTGTGCGTAGCATTGCATGATAATTGTTACCTTCCTTCCTTTGGTGTTGAATGTTCCTGTCATTATCCTGCAGGATGAAATTGCTTCCCACTGCATTAGGGCTTTGGCTGCCACTGGTGACATCATGATAGTCACTCACTCTGCCTCAGTGTGTTCGTGTTTGTCGTTTGGGCGACCAGACTGGGAGAAGATTACTGACTGACTCTCCCGTTGACAGTTTTGACAGTCCATATCCATTTCATCTGCTTTCGCAGATACCCAGTACTTTTAAGTCATATCTTCGCATCTTTCTGACTACCTGGGCAGCCTTCCCAGCCGGTCTCGTATATTGTACGGACATTCCACACACCCACTCTTACTCTTGCTTTCATCGAGAAAAGACACATCGGCTGGCTGACTGGCTTCCTGAAGGCTTTCACCAGCCCGCTGTGTCATTTCGCCTCTCCGATTTGAGCGAAGAATAAGCTTGTTATTATTTGAAGTTTTTGTTGTTTTAATATATTTTCTGTGTGTGTTGAAGTTTCTCTAGCGTTTTGAAAGACTTATTGATGTGTGCTTGCTAGCCCCACGCCCAACCTTTTCCTCTTTATCCGGGTTTTGGACCGGCTAGAAAACTAGCGAGATTGTTAACTAGGCGAGGTTGTTGGCCTTCTAATGAAGATGAATTGGAATTCACCAGTATAATTCATGTTGACGACTTATACTTAATTAAACTTTAAATGAGCTCAATTTGATGGCGGGCTAAAAGAATGGATATAACTTTATTTTTGAACAAAGTTCAAGATGGTGGTATTCCTAACAGACTGAATCGCTGGTTAGTGGATAACATCGGAACTAGTACCCTGTTATATGCTAGAACGCTTTCCAATGAATTTGTGAGACACACGGGGTAACAATATTGTGAGCTATCAAGAAGCAACTAAAGACTGTATTCCCCTTACTTTAATATTTATTCTAAAGTTATATTTGTATATTCTCCTCCACTTCAGATAATCCAGATCGTTGCAATGTATGTCAATCGGGAGATATGTGATTCCGTCTGAGATTCTTCCAGAATGCCTCATACTACTCTAGGTAATTCCTCCTGAAAGAAATCTCGGCATTTACCTCTTCAAACTTGACAGACAAACGTAGGAACTTCTTCAGTTTCTCTGCTGACGGATGGTCTTTTCTATTCTTCCAGTCGTTTGAAAAAACACAATAGATGATAGAAAAAAATTAAAAAGACAGTGGCAGAGAAAATAAAGGCATCCCAGAAGAATCTCAGGTGAAATCATATATCTCGCCACTCATGTACACTAAAATGACACATATTCAATCAAATTAATGGGGTCCGACCTAGATCATCTCAACTAGAGCAGGATATCTCAAAAGAGTCGTAAGTTCCTTATGAATTATCCAATAATAAACGAACATATATAAATAGATAGAGTTATGTGAGGTTCTCCCTGAATGACTTAGATTTTGCCAACAGTGATCTTGGTTAGCTTAAGAGTTAACTTTATTTGTCCTTCACATAAAAGTGTTACTCCCTTAATATTCAGCTTGAAGATCATCGACTGTTTTTCAGTTTCACTGAGCATAAATTGTATTAACTTTAGACTTATTAATATACATTCTGAATTTATCAGTGGCGAGCTTAAACCTGCATGTAAATTTCACAATCAAAATAAAAGACATCCTCATCTATGGTAGTTAGTTTTTAAGAGTTAGTTCATGGGTATTTGATTTGTCTCATATTTGATCACGGATTGATATCAGTTAAAGAATCATTGAAAACCATTAGAGAGTACAAGATAATTGTTTCGTCCTACTTTCGAACTCTTCATCAGTACGCATCCACAACCTCGCTGGGGAACAAACTTAGAACCTTCAGGTAACAAGTTGAAACTCGATGTTGATTCAAACATTTGGATAGGAATCCACTGACCCAACCAGCAGCCAATGTCATCCGTGGCGAGTAGATGTCCCCATACCTAACTCGGTGGATATTATTGGTCACGGCGTCTCACTAGAACTATAGGAAACTTTATCCTGTAGTCAGCCAATAGTAGATTTGTAGGGATTGACTGTTTTCTAGTTTGATCATGGTTTGATGTTAATTAGCTACAGTTATTATTATTATGATTATGGTTTCCTTTAATTCCTAGAGGAACATAGGGCTTCAGCCGTGTGTCTCCATTGCGTTCGGTCCTCTGCTAGAGTCTTTACCTGGCTCCATGTCTGTCCACACACCTTCATCTCCTCTTCACATGACCGCCTCCAAGTCACCCTCGCACTGACGACCAACTCGTCGCTTCCCTTTCGGGTTCCACTCGAGGAATGGCTTGTCTAGTGATGTCACTTGATGCATTGTTTCCTCAGAGTATGGCCAATCCACCTATCTCCATTTCTTCCTGCATATTTGTTTCACAATCGGTTCCTGCTGGGTTGGTTCACTCCCAGAGATCTCTGTTGCTGATCTTTTCTGATCGGCCATCTGATCTTGAGTTGCATTGAGCGACGACAACTGTTAATGAAGGTCTCTTTATGACACACCAAGTCTCTAATCCGTATAGAGTAGCACTGACTGACTTCACATTGGAGTTGAAAATCCGGATCTTATTTTTGATGCTGAGTGTTGTTGACCTCCACACAGACTTGAGAGCAGTGAAAGCTTGTCTTGCTTTTGCGATTCTTGCTTTGATATCCTCGTCAGTTCCGTCTGCCTGTAGTTGAAACGATGCTTCCCAGCTATAGCTAGTTCTAACAAATATCTAAGAGAAAATGGACATGGATAGAACATATGCCACTGAGGAGACCATCGAATGATATCGAACGCATTGCAGGCCGTGGATCTAGTGAAATCCCAATGGGAAACGACAAGTTGGGTGTTTTTCCGGGGTTGACATGAAGGAAATCGTGTGTTAGGAGGAGGAGGTGAAGATTACAGATTGAGGGCAATCATCGGTCCGGTTGAAGAGAACAGAACAAAGTGGAGATATGTTGTTGAAGCCCTATGTTCCACTTGGAACCCAAGAGGAACAATAATAGTAATAAGTGATTTAAACAGGTCACCGATGTAGGATTCATTTGTTTAACTTCTATTGTTTTATAGAATTTCGCTGGTCATTACTATTTTGTCTTCAAGTTAGTGAATTCTGAAAGGGTCTAAAAATCATTTTCGTGATACAAAGAGGACTTTATTCCCATGGTGTTAGTTATGCTTTAACTAATAAGCAAAAAATTTAAAACTACACCTGATTCCATTTATCACTAGAAGATACTTTAATTAATTAATTAAAATCACAATAAATTGACCTCATTTCAATATTTGTTGGTAATGATAATGATATACTTTTAGATTACACGAATAGAAAGAAGGCCATTTTCAACATTCTTTATTGAACAAACTTCACCCTATCTACTCTTCCTCATTGTCCGGAGTAAGTACTAAGAAATATTTTGTTGTAGCCTGACTGTTTACCAAATAGTTATTGACCTTACTCTCAACAATACCACGACAATAATAATTAGAAATTTGGTACCACCCATATTTCAAATTACTATTATTATTATTATCGCTTACGGATTTATGTGGTATTATAAGTACAAACAAGCAGAAAGTCTCTACGTTCAGAGTTTCCTGACGATAAACCTCCAACCGAAAAAACACTAAACTGAAGTACACCAAAAGTTGTGAGTCTGTCTAAGCCTTGATTGACTGCATTCAAAGTCAACACCATGACTACGGAATAAACACACGATATCAGGTAATACATACACTCTAACGACCAGTCAAAGTAATCTCTCTGTCATAAATGCTTTGATGATGATGATGCTTTGAAAGAGAAAGATGAAGTAACTTGGAGATATAATGACAATTCATGACCAGTGAGGTTCACCAGGTCGGGTAGTAAGGACAGATACTTGTCAGTGGTGGTGGCTGGATACTACGAATTGGTAGGAGTTAGAATTCGTGGGTCAGTAATTCCGGTCCCAGTGGCTGAATAGGCTATGAGCTTGATTTGTAACCGGAAGGCCCTGGGTTCCAAACCCAGAGGGTATCTACTTCCGAAGAGTCAAAAACTAGGGCGTAACAGCTATCCGGTACTTTTAATAATAATAATTTGCTTTATTCCAGAAACAGTACTAGTGGTACAGTGTGGAATTTTCAGCACATATCTACAATATTTGCATCTAATTTTATCAAACATTTAAAAGGAGTATTAAAAACACAAATAAAAAAATCTAAAGACACCAACAGCAAAAAATAAACAAAACAGGATAAACACAAAATAATTATAAATGTGAAAAAGTGCCAAGAAGTAGAAAGGAAAATAAACATCATATAATAATATCTCAGTTTTGGGTCGTGGAAGCTATGATATGATTATGCATGGTGACAGTAAAGCTATAGTCATACAAGAAGTTATGAAATGATATTTAAGAATGTTTATCGCCAAGATGGTCAG